TATATACGCTTTTCATTAGATAGAATTTTCACTATGAGTATACTGTAATATTAAAACTATAGGGGCCAATGTCACATTTATCTCGCTTTGAGCTTGTAATTGGTTCGGTTATGTTATGATTTGTGCATTACTACTCTTTTATACAGACTGTGTCCAGTGGAGGAAAATTTTATCACAAAACTCTCGGTAAGTTTGTAAAAACACAAGACGTTATTTCTTTTATACATTTATGAGCTGAACGTTTGGCCGAGATATGATGTTCCTGCTTCTTGCGGTGTAAATATATAATTTGTTGTAGATCATATATTTTTGTAGACCCCAGCCAGCATCATGTTTTAATGGGAGTCAGATCGCTCTCTCCTCAACCAAATAACCTCTATGAGAGTTAGAAGGAATTTGGTACAATTTTATCCCTTATATGTCGGCACTGGGGCTGCATTGTGGCTACCGCAGGTTCCTATGCCAGAGCCCAGCCAACATTTCCAATTTCAAATATTTGGGCAAAAAAAGGAAAATTTAATTTTTTAATCTTGAATATGCATTGCTTCTCAGTCAAATTTTCTATTACTCTACTAATACCAATTCAAGTCATTTAACATTTCTAGGTTGTTTATTTCTGATTTTTCTGCTAAGCATGAATTATGTCTGCATTATTGATGTAATTTTTTAAATTTTCCTCCAGTCTGATGGATTTTTTACCCTGGCTAGCTTCAATAAAATATTCAAACACTATGATCGGGTAAGCATAGGCCTATTATTGTAATTAATTAATGAACTAACAGATAATATCTAGTTAAATGTTTTCGTATATTTTTTAGGCCTATACTGAATTTTAGGTAATTATAAACTTAAAGAGGATAGGCCTATACATCTTATGGTTTTTCAATACTGATGCATTCTGGAAAAAAACATAAAACAAAAGTATGTTAAGTGTTCCGTATTTGTTATAATACTTAGGATAACAATGGATCAATTGATGGCGATGAAATTCCGGGATTGATTCGAGATTTAGTGGAAGGATCTGGCAGTGTAAGTAGATTGTATCTTTTGAAATATGTCCATTTATAGGGCTAATGTGAAGGCGAAAGCCGGGCACTCAATGTGACCGACGGTTCGGCCGATGCGATTATATGGAAAATGCAACACCACGACACGCGCGCGCAATGGATCGTTTTTAATGACGATTAGTTTAGACTGTCACTGACAATCAGCAAATCATCTAACACCGCTCGCAGGGAGCGGAGTTAGATTAGTCCTACGACGAAGACAGAGTGCCCGGCTAATAAAATATGAAAACACACCAGATGAATATTCCCCCATAAGTATTTATCGTAATCCATCTTTCTGTTGTTAAGCAACACATTTGCTTGAAAATTTTAAAGTTATAATATATATTTTAAAACAATGCAACACTTAAATAATTCCCAATCAAGAAAAATGGTCCGTAGTTGTGATACAAAAATGATTATCGCTGTTTTCAGACAATTACTCCTCAAAAACTTGAGGATTATACGGCTACGTTCATAGACCTATTTGATAAAAATAAAGATGGCAAGTTCCAGAAGAAAGAGCTTTTGATGGTACTTCCTATCGAAGACAACTTTTTGAGCAAGTTTCTGGTAAGTTTCTAAAAAGACATTAATTCTGTATGTTATTGTTACTGACTGAACTAACATTTTTATTAGGCGAATAATCGATAATAAGCACGAAACAAATTTTACAAGAATCAAATCACATATAACAGGCATATCCTACGTTGTGATTTAACGTTTAAAATAATGGTAATGCTCTAACGGCACTAACTGAGCCATCGTGGACCCTTTGTGTCGCTGGTACAGTATTTCTTATGGCACTGCTCTCCGGGCTGCGCTGGTACTCAGGTCATCAATCCGTACTAGAACCAATTTAAATTATTTAATATTTCTGGGCTGTTGGTTTGGAATCTCAAAACTATTGTCTGCATTACTAATGTCAATGTTTCTTATTTTTCCTCGAGTCTCTTCGAACTTTGACAGTGGATAACTTCAATAAAGTATTCCAACACTATGATCGGGTAAGCATATTTAATTGAATTAAATAAACTAATTAACATATGGGGCTTGCCATGCCAAAACCAGCATTAGTGACCAAAACAAGAAAATTGATTTTTTAATATTTTAATATTCTCCACATTAAAATGATAGGTCATTTACTGGAATCGACTTACTATTGCCAAAGTTATGAGTAAAAGTATTATATGGCTTCTCTTAGACTTGCCACAAGTCTTTAATTTATGGATTTTTCGTAGTACATTAGCGCATTTCGGAAAGCGCCACCAGCGTCAGTTTATGTTGAAAAACTTTTTTGATGAAAATTAGAAAAATCCCAGAAAAAGTATACTATGGAACGCCATGAAAATAAGTAATATGGAACGCCATTTGTGCCAAAATCAATTTATTCTTAAGCATTTCAACTGATAAAACAAAGATTAGGGACTGGAACCCAGTCTAGCCTTCTCTGTACTAAAGTATACAATACTGCCTCATTCTTCTTACTCAGTATTCTAATTACTCAATGAAAATTTAGCGACAGTACGCTGGTTTTGGGATGGTACGACTAATATTTAGGCCTATTATCTACCCTAAGTTTTAGCATTACTGTAATATTAATTACAGAATATGTTTTAAAGAGGATATACATCATAGGGATTTTTCAATACTGATATTCAGGGATAAAAATAAACACCTGCCAACTCTCGCGCATAGTGCTGTCTCTTATACACATCTAGATGTGTATAAGAGACAGTATATATACAGTGTATCTAAATAGCAGATAATATAATAATTGGTATAAAACAACAATAGTAGGCATAGAAGCAGGATATATTGTATATATATAATTATATAGGCCTATATTATGACGAATGGAAAGAGCTGATGCAATTTAAGTGTATGGACAGTTGTAGTCACTAAGAAAATCAATGTCTCTATTAAGCCCAATAACGTGGGTATTGTGCTTGAGAATGAGTTTGAATTCGGTAACACGGCGATCTTTTAATGATGTAAAGTTGTTAGCTATAAGGGTACATTTAATATCATTGATGCTGTGATTGGGAGAACTAAAATGAGTGGAAGTGGGAAGGTTTTTACGATTGACGATTTGTGGCACCGGTTTCTCCTATGTAGGTACCGTGATCACATACCTTACATGTTATAACGTAGATAACGTTAGATGAGTTGCATGAGAGAGGAGGAGGGTGAATTTTGTGATTGGTGATTGGGAGTGAAATAGTGCTATCAGTTACAATATGCTTGCAAATTTGACAACGGGGCTTGTTGCATTTTATGTTACCAATTGAGGGGGGTGTAGTGGTGGTGCGTGAAGATGTTAGTAGGGTTTTCAAGTTGGGGGAGGACGGTGATCGAGGAGGGGTGGGGTGTCGAACAAGTGTTGTATGGATTTGTCGAGTTTAAGATGAGCAAAGTCGTTTTTAATGGTGTTAGTGACGGTCATAGTGGAAGGATGAAATTCAGAAGTAATGGGAGTGCGTTCGGATGGAGTTTTGGGTTTGTAAATAAGTAAGTCTGAACGGGAGTGTAATAAAGCTTTGTGAATTTGGGACTTAATGAGGTCGATGGGATAATATATATATATATATATATGTGTGTGTGTGTGTGTGTGTGTGTGTGTGTGTGTGTGTGTGTATATAGGCCTATATATATATGATTTTAACTGGTGGCCATGGCTTGAAGTTTGATTCTGAACTTATTTTGGCCTCCTTTCACACACTTATTCTGTAATGTATTATTATTCTTTAGATCTCTTTACCATTAAGCTTGTTTGTTACGTATGTGTATGTGTGTGTGAGAAATAATTGAAACAAGCAAACAATGTATTTTTTTACTTGTCACAATGCTTTGTTAGGATAACAGCGGCGCAATTAATGGTGATGAAATAGCAGAATTTTTTACAGATTTAGTGGAAGTAACAAGTCATGTAAGTAGCGTTTTTAATATAATAGGCCTATATTGAATCGTATCATTCATATTATATTGGCATTGACACACTATACTCACCCAATGAATAATATTCAACCGGCCAAAAGTATATTTTTCCTAATAATTGTTTTTGTATTGAAGAACAAGATACGAGACATAAACGATATACATAGAACCCCTCCTTTGGGACACCCTCATTAAGGGGACACTTTCGAGCACTAAATAAAGGAAAGTATATCTTTTAACACTACGGCCAACCCCTATTCAGGGGACACCCCTATTTAGGGGAAACTTTTTGGTCGCGAAGGCGTCCCCTTAATAGGTGTTCTACTGTTTGTTAAGTGAAATTTAACTCCGTAACCTACTTCAGATGGTAACCACTGTTTAACACTGGTTAAAATCGCTTATAGTTGTTCATATGATACACAAGAAACGAATTAGAAAATAAGGGTACGTCTTACTCAAAACAATGATCCGTAAATACTAAAAACAGGGGAGGATTTGGGGGGGGCTGCCTGGCCCCGGCCCCCTCCCCTTTTGGGAGGTAAAAAAAAGGGAAAAAAAAGAAAAAAAGAGAGAAAACAGAAAGAAATGATAGCCCAGAATGCCTCAAATGTTATGTTCGGGCGTCTAGAACACAAAAATTTCGCGGGGGGCATGCCCCGGACCCCCTACGCCAGTGTTGTCTCAATCGGCCCAACTTTCGGCCCCCCTTCCGCCCCCACCCCCTTTTGGACATTTCTGGATCCGCTCCTGAAAAATCATTGTTGTTTTTGCAGGATTTTGATGCCCAAAAAGTTGAAGAGGTGATTGCTTTTATGAAAAAAAAATGTGATAAGAATAAAGACGGCAAGTTCCAGAAGGACGAACTTATGGCGTTTCTTTCCCTCGGTTCCGAGTAGTTTTTTCTTTTTTTTTTACTTTTTTGAGTTGACTCAATCCTGGCAAAGGCCTAATTACGGTCATAGTTAGTTGTACATTTAAGTTAACCGTTAGAGTGTATTTATAACATTTAACGGCTTTACTTATGCCTAATTTGAATTAACGTATTAAATTTCTTCTTAATGAATGCGGTTTTAAGCTCGACAATGCGTAAGTTACTTGCAATTTGGAAAATTATATTTCAAATATTATTATCTGAATTTAAGAGTATAGGTTGTGTCGAATTTTATAATATAAAAACCATATATAAAAACAATATAATTGGAATGATCCGTAAATACTAAAAACAGGGGAGGATTTGGGGGGGGCTGCCTGGCCCCGGCCCCCTCCCCTTTTGGGAGGTAAAAAAAAGGGAAAAAAAAGAAAAAAAGAGAGAAAACAGAAAGAAATGATAGCCCAGAATGCCTCAAATGTTATGTTCGGGCGTCTAGAACACAAAAATTTCGCGGGGGGCATGCCCCGGACCCCCTACGCCAGTGTTGTCTCAATCGGCCCAACTTTCGGCCCCCCTTCCGCCCCCACCCCCTTTTGGACATTTCTGGATCCGCTCCTGAAAAATCATTGTTGTTTTTGCAGGATTTTGATGCCCAAAAAGTTGAAGAGGTGATTGCTTTTATGAAAAAAAAATGTGATAAGAATAAAGACGGCAAGTTCCAGAAGGACGAACTTATGGCGTTTCTTTCCCTCGGTTCCGAGTAGTTTTTTCTTTTTTTTTTACTTTTTTGAGTTGACTCAATCCTGGCAAAGGCCTAATTACGGTCATAGTTAGTTGTACATTTAAGTTAACCGTTAGAGTGTATTTATAACATTTAACGGCTTTACTTATGCCTAATTTGAATTAACGTATTAAATTTCTTCTTAATGAATGCGGTTTTAAGCTCGACAATGCGTAAGTTACTTGCAATTTGGAAAATTATATTTCAAATATTGTTATCTGAATTTAAGAGTATAGGTTGTGTCGAATTTTATAATATAAAAACCATATATAAAAACAATATAATTGGTAAAATGACAAGCTTGTAAAAAGTTATTTGAATGTAAGCCAAATTCAATTAAGTGTATTTTCATTTGGAAAGTATATAAAGGAGCTTTTGATTGGGTAACGACAATGCATGCTCAAACGTCGTCCCAAATCGAAAGTTTCCAGTTTTCACAAGACGTGTTTCAGTTACGCATGTGCGTGTACTCTAATTAGGGAACTAGTTGTAAACTTACCGGTACAGAATTTTATTATTGGTCTAAAAGTTAAAACATAATTGGTCAAATTATAAAAGTTAGACCTATATGATATGATATTGTATTGTTTTGAATACAGCTAGAACTTTCATCCATTGTAATGGAATGGACCTTTCCGAAGTGTCAATCAAATTAGTAAGACCAGTCAGAACAGGGACAATAATACGCGCGCGTCTTACAAACACACGTGTTGTTCCAACAGACGCAACCAAGGGGCGGGGCTTAGCGGATCGGACGGTCCTTTGCCAGCAGACTATTATATACTATTTTATTATTATTATATTAGACTATTATATTATTATTATGTTGTTCCAATTTACAATTAATTTTGGAATCAAAGTGGAGGGTTCATATGATATGGTCAACTAAGGTGGTTGCATGTTATTGACTTCACCAAATTCTTACATACAATAACATCCAATCAGAATTAGGAATTCGTTTAAAACTGGTGTAACAATAGTCACTAAAACTTAAATCTGCGTGTCCCCCAGACCCAGTTGTTTTTATCAATGCAAGTAATATTTTTGAAGGATGTGTTTGAAGAATTTAATAAACAATGACTTCTCTGAAACAGGTTTTGGTTAATGTTGAATAAAATTTTATTATACGATTAAAATAGATTGCCTAAGTGTGTTATTCATATATAAATTGTTAAATCGCTACATCAATATCATAACAGACAATAATTCAATATAACCAAGGTGATGATGATGATGATGATGATGATGATGATACAATTTATTCCCTCCGGAGCTTGGCTTTGAAGTATAATGTCCCTAATGCACTCAATGGGTTTTGGGGTGGAACAATCGGATAAGCGTACACGTCACATACTCTATAGTGTGCTCTTCAACGAACACAAGACATCCTTCGAGAAGGGTGGGGTATATCAACTCGGTTTTTTGGTTATGATCCCCTGTCGCAGATTTGATGAAACCCCCTGGGATGCACATGATATGATGGGACCCTTTGAGTAGCAAGCTATATAGATATAGATAGATATTTACTTGACAAATAAACGAGATGCAATCATGATAATAGGTCTACATACTAGACCTACTAATTGAATTTATATAAATGACTTTGTATTTGGTATAACTGTACTGGGTGGGGGTGGGGTGGGGATGTAAAGCATAGTATACCACATCTTTTAGCTTGAGTATGTTTATTTCTCATGTGATATCTGAAATATTATTGGATATCAAAACACACTCCATTGTCGAACAGCTTTCGGGTAATTAGGTTGTGATTGAAATTATTGTAGGTGACGTTTATAGAGTTCGCTTCATTTTGCCTTCGCTGACTGGCTAATGATGGATCAATCGTTCACGTTTCTCGCCTCAACTTTCCGCTTTCTGAAGGTCGCCCGCCTGCTTTCCTGCTGTCAACATCATTTAGCCCCGCTTCATTATCAACTATGGTCATTTGAACAATATTATTTGCCTTGGTTAGAGTTGTAGGTCGACTTGCTTGTCGAATATCTTGAAGTGAATAAACGTCGAAGTGCGGAATTATACAAAGACGCTTCAAATTGTATTTTAATCATCTACCACCATAATACCTAAAAAGAGCAGATGATAAGAAACACCAATTTATTCGAAGACCGATTGAATGATTGCCTTATCGGATTGACTGATGGCGTATACTGCAATTGTTCACCAAAGGATTAAATACCGATTGATTCACAAGTGAGTAGTCCTACATGTGGATATCATTTGCGCATTTTTATCAGATTAAAGCTATTGAAATGACATTTCAGTTATGATTTACGCGTTATTAAGCTTCGTCTACTTTTCATTCCAGCGCTCATTCGTGAAAGTAAACGAGTGCCATTAGCCTAAACTAAGTCGGGCTTGTTAGACCATTGGTATATTTCTCGTTTTGCACGGAGGCATTTGCTTCTTAACATTACTGAAGATGTCACAACTTCTCTCCAGAATTTCCCCTGCAGCAACAAACGCGCAACTAATAGTCAGTGCTATGGCATATGCTCACGGGGTGAAGCATGGTCCAGATAATGAGAGAGCGGTCCTCTCTACTGGTATAGACCAGTACATCCAGCAAGTATTTCATCATCTTGATTCTGATAATATAGGTGTCATTGAAAAGGACGATTTCTGTATTTTGTGTGAAATATTAAACGTTAAAGACCAAACTATCATCGAAAATCTTCCCGCTGAAATTGATTCCAAGGAGTTTCACGAACGCTTAGTGCAGCATTTTATGTCGAATCTGCACGTGAATGAATTGTTGCAAAATAAGCATATGCAGAAGCAAAGTTCTAAACTTCTTAACGTTGATGTTGACATTGCAGATGTTAGTGTTAAAACTATAGGCCTATGTTCCCAGTGTTACCAAGCAGAACCTGTGTCGGACATATTCCAAGCGTTCTCGTACAACTATAAACATGACCGAAATGATGAGACTCTTCCAAATAATTGCTCGCGTTTACATTTAATGTGTGATGACAAATTACAAGAACAATGCAACCACATGAATATGCAAAATGAGGCACTTAAAGAGGTAGTGGAAGATATGCGTTTTGCTCTACAGACAAGCAATGCCCGAGCTATTGCCCAACAGGTAAAATTGTCGAAATTGCGCCAAGACATGTTTCTTTCTGAAGGACAAACTTCTTGGCGCAGTTCTGAGAAGGATGTTCAGCGTAGATTTGGAAGTGGAACGTGTTCAGGATTATGTAAGGAGCCAGAGCAGTTAAGACTATGCCACGAAAAATATATAGTATACTCGAAAGGGTTAGCCTCGGATCTAGTTCGTGCTCAACGGGAACGGGAAGAAACAGAAAAAAACCGACAAGCGTTGTTGGCCAGCCAGTGGACAGTGCGTCACCAGCTACAAAACACGCGAGACGCATTGCATACAGCCCTGTTGCAAGTTAAGAATCTAGAAAAGAGGCTAAGAACAAACGTCAGGTGAGAAGTTGTTCTAGAGGCCTAATAAAATGTATGTTAATCAATATTCTATTTATTTAAATATTCGTTCTACACAAATATTCACAACCATTTTATACCTCTCCCCTCCCACTCCCACCTTCTCCACCCCTCTCACCTTCTTTATCCCCACCTACTCTACCACAAGCTTCGAATGAAATTAATTATATAGTATTTTTTAAAAGTTAATTTAAGTTATATTTAAAATTGTTATTGATGTGCCTGAGCGCACAACAGATACAAAGGTTACGAATACCATGATTAATCGTTTTAAGGTGGTGTATTCCAACCGGATGCATTCTCCCCCACGGCATAGATTGCAAACACTAGGCAGTGTGGTCTGACAATTTAAAACATTATACCAGATTAATACAAGTGTTTATCTAATTCACTAATATGTTACTGGGGCCTATGCTTAAAAGAGAACCCCGGCAGCGATCGCATCCCGGAAACTTTATGTGTTGAAAAGGAAAAATATTACTTAAATCTGCATACTTGGGTAATAAAAACAAGTTGTTTGCATTTTAGACAAAATTGTTGGTACCTGTATAAAAAGAATATTGTAGTACAAGATTATTTGGGAAAAGACCGTTTATGGGACTAAGCCTATAAAGACAACACATCATAATATATTATCAGATTATCATTAATTGTTATTATTGTCAAGCATACAGGGTCATTATACCGGAAGATAAACTTGCTTTTATTAATACATATTCATAAACCTCCACTAGGATAGAAGGCATATTTAACTTGGGGCATCACAATAATTATTAATAACGAAAGGTTAGCAAAACAGTCAAATCACAGTACGGAATGATGGTTTAAGAAATTAATAAGAATCAAATAAGTATACTACAAGCACTCACATCAAAGATTTTTAAGTTTTGAGTAAAGCCCCGCTGATGTCCTAGGGGTGAAGCCATTCATTAATATTATTATCCAAATACCAAGGTTATAGATCAGCCGACGTCTAAGCACGCTCCTTGCCCGGTGGCAGATTTCACTTCCTGTGGCAGACTGTGATGGATGTCGTTAAAATGAAAACAAGACTCTTATTACAGATTATATTCCTGTTTACAAGCACCAAAATTAATAACGTGAACTCTTTATTGTAATCATAGACCTATGTATCTTATTTATACGGTAGCATGTTAATTATGAACTGTACTACTACTGCCTTTGCCTCTAGTCCCGCTCTACTACAATGTTGGTACATACGGTACTGTAATTGTGAATTGGAAACATTTATATTTAAAAAAAAGAAACACAAATGCGAGCCGTTCCTAACTTACATAAAAATATAAATGCAGGCCTATAGATAGTGGTTTGCCAGAGGATGTATTTTAAAAGATGTTGTCTTTGAGTCCAATTCTCCAAATTATATGTGCGTGTAGGTTTATCCATCTCCATGGTTTATCACACATCATGACAATCGCGTGCATAAGGCCTGAGTATTTTGTATGTGTGAAATATTAGACTTAGAAACAAAGACTTTATTCCGTTTATAATCCCGAATTGATTAAACTAATTGACATAAAAACATAAGTCAATAGATTTTGTTTGATTAATTTAATTTGTAATTATCGTAAGTGGTACGCGGTGCAGGTGAAATAAGCTCTTTAGATTTCATTGTCCAAGTCGTGTCTCCATGTGGCAATGGAAGAAATACATTGAATGACTTTGATTATAACTTAAACCAATAACTTCCAAATGACTTAGCATCTTACGAAAAATAATTGTAATCAATAAAGTTAAAGGTGAATAGCGTATGGTTAGGTACTAGGCCTAATGAATGACGACGTTAAAACAAACTAGCGATATCAGTGAGTAGGGCCTATTTGACAAAGTTAAAATCATAATTACATCTCACACAAAACTTTATTGAGTCTTTAAAAACATTTACCATTGTGTAATATTAAATAACAATCAATTGAACAAAACAATTGTAATGACAAATAAATAAATGTATAGTGAATGATTAATTTAGACTGAACAGATACACAAGGCTTCCTGGAATAATAGACTATTTGTTTCATATAGGTATATAACAAGGCCTTCATCAATATATATATATTAGTTTATGCAAAGTTTTATATAATAATGACAAAAAACTAAATTTGTTTTCTTTCTGTAGGTCAATTTCGGTTCAAACTTGCTGGGACTTCGATGCCATGGAAACTGGTATTACGTCACACGAAAATCGTTCATCAACTCCAGGCGGCTCATTCGAGGATAGTATGAACTGTGGGAAAATTTGTTTTTTACGTCATAGTGGTGAGTAAACGACAAATCGCGTAGCAGTAATGCGATAGTGGTAGGCAGCAGAGCGAGTGATAGTGCAGCGCAACAGTAAACATTATTGAGCACTTGTGTTATATTGAGATTTGACAATGATGATTTTTGTGCCTTACCTGTATTTCCAATAGCACGTTGACCGGTTTATCCGCTGCGGATAATATACCAAATTAATTCTATCAGGTATGAAACCATAAATGTCAGGCCAGGGTCTCTTATAACTTCTTGTTTGTAATGCTCCGGAGATGCAAGCATCAAAAGTAGGCCTACCATACTAAAAAAAGAGGCTGTGAATAAAACTTGCCATAATATTATGTTCACATTATAAATATTAACTCTTGATAGCTCGAGGAAACAATTGACTCTTGATAGCTCGAGTAGTAAAACTATTCTTGCTCCTTGAAATCACAGCAGGGTATCCCATAACTGCTGTAATAAACACCTATTTTAAAAATACTTTCTGTGTTTGCACGCAATTTATGCCCAACCATGTTTTATTGCGGTGTTTCAATACAACCAACCAATCACAACAGGCTGTTTATCTTACTGAATTATCGAGAAAAAAAAATAAAAATTAAATTTAGTTAGACCTAGATTAAAGAATAAATGCTCATTCTTCAACGCGACTTGATCAATACATGCTTTATATGAAACCAACTGTGCCAAATTTAATTATCTAATATAGAAAATAGAGGCATGTGTCGGGGTCTGTTGGGCATGTTGGTAAGGTAAGAAGTTAAAATGTACGGTGTGTTGATCGTCTGCTTGATCTCCCGCCGATTTCCTATAGTCTGTCATATTAGTTTATGATGATGATGAGGAAGAAGTATGCGGAACGGTATGCTTCTTACACGACCCCCTGTGAGCACGGTGATCGTGTTTGTTATTAAAAACAATTATATATTCACTTGAAAACAAACAATTATTCTCTTGGGTAGTATATTTGAAAAAGTTCTCACTTTGTTATTGAAGCAGGCAAGACTCATTTTCTACGAATGTTTAGGAACGATATTTTTGTTAATTCGATTTTAAAGACCTTTGCGTATTCGTATCATGTGAACTAGCAAGCAGAAGATTATATAGTAGGGCCTATAGCACATTGTATCATTTCCAAACGTGCGATTCCTTTGCTTTCCGAAATATTTATAAGTATAATTATACAAAATACAAACAAAATTATATTGTTCTTCACAGGTGATATGGCTATGGATAGGTCCGTTGAAGGAAAATCCGGTAAATATTTACAGTCTATAACAAAATGTTATGCAAGCTCAAAATATATCAGAATTTTAAAATAAAACGGATGTGGCCTACATTTTTAAATACAATTCTACTATTGTCATTACTGTATGCCTATCTAGGCCTAATTTTGCAGACCTATTATTATTATTATCATTATTATTACTCCTATTACCGTATTATTGTTGCCGTTAATTTTTTGGGGGGTGGTGGCGGGTTTATAATTATTATTGATTTCATAATTATTATTTTTATCACAATATATGTCTATTATTTATTAATAATTGAACGGTTAGAACTTTCTAGAACAGTATTAATTTTTCAAATGGTGCTATCGTGTATCTGTTAATGTAATACATTGCCTCGAATCTAAAGATAAGACGAAGTTTAAATGAAAAAAACGACAAAATAAATTTGGTTTTGTTATTACTTAGATTCTGACGAAGAGTCGATGAAGGAGTGGACAATGAAATCAACAAAAACGCAAAACGAGCAGACGATTGAACAGTTGAAGCAAAAAGTGTTGGAATCAGAAGAGAAGTGCATCAAAATCGAACAGAAATACAAGAAAGTAATTTGAGAGCTTAAGTTTATAAAATACTCGACCAAATGCACTTGGCTGTGATGTAAAATAAATACATTAGTCATGTTCAGTCAATTAACGGAACCACTAATAGATGAGGAGAGATAAAATATTATTTATAACAAGTATATGGTTTCGTTTCAGGAAAAATTTCCTTAGGCCTACTTAAAACAAATTTAGCACTACCAATTTTATTGTAATTCGCATCTTATCGGATACGGTACTCATCACAAACAGTGATGGGTTTTTCAGTGGAATAGTGTATCGAAATTGGCGAAGTGCTTTTGGTGGAGATGGACAAATGTGGTGCGCTAGCTGTAAGAATGAACTGATATTGAATGTAATTTATTGATCAAGTTTTCAGTTGGAGGTGCCAGGTAATGGCAGACATTTTTGGAGGTTGGAGGACCCCATGGCTCTTCAGCCGAGCACTCACTGGGATGACGTAATTCTTCAACGACGCGCGCGCAGCGGATCATTTTTAATGTTAAATTCCTCGGCCGACGGTCGTACGCTACGACCGTACGACGCAATGAGTGCCCGGTTTTAGATACGTCACTTTTGTTTTCCGAGATCAAAAGTAATGTGACATAAACATTGGTCGTGAGTCACTTTTATTATTCTATTTCCACCTTTGCTATATTATTGGAACTAATGCCGAACGCAATCAAACATCAGATATAAAATAAACGTGCTATATTTAATATATTACTGCATTATTGATATATAAAAAAATAGACCTAAGATGTAGATCTTAAGTATTCCTTACCATGTAGGTATGTACAAAATAATCATAACGAATGTACTGTACTTATATCATTACAGATGGAAAGGGATTTGCTTACCGAAATGGACCGTCGCCTACAGGAGATGGAAGACACGCATCAGGAATTACAGAATCTACAAACGGAACGACTGCGACAGAATATTATCGAGAATACGTTGTCACAGATAATACAAATACTTCGGGGTATTAAAAAACTGGTTCGTGCAATTGATTTTTACATTGAAAATTGGATTGGACGCTGAAAAGAATGAGCCACGTTGAAGCGTTCGAAATGTCGTGCAAAGCGCTATTTTATATTAATATATATATATATATATATATTATATATATATATAACTTTAGCTATTCGAAATATTCATATATAATTTATTTATATTTATAGAGGATTACAAGACGGATTTAGAGTTTATATGTATAGGCCTGTTCTTGTCCCTATAGAGTTTTTCTTCTTCTGTTACGTTTCAATCAATATAAATGTATACTGAAATAATAATTGTTTTTATCATTTTTGTAATAATTATCAATATGAAAATACTGAAACATCTGTAACACAAAGCATTTTACTTGTTTAACCTAGGGTTTAGCAAGACGTCTTGTGGGTAGAATTACTTTAGATGCTGTTGATACGTGTCCAGCTTCCGACCCACCAGATGAAGGTAAAAACAAATAATATTTATACATTTATCAAAATAAATTTACTCCAGTAAGATTGGTATTTTTGGGTAAACAGAATAATCTTTATATTTATCTTGTATATTATTGTAGAAGCTGACGTGAGGAATTTCGTTCACACGTACCACAAAAAACTTCAGAAAGTCGAATTCTTGCCAGAGATTAAAGAAGACTATACGCACCGCATCTGTCCAGTAAATTTACTTAACACACAGAAAAATCTTAAGACCCGTCCATGGTCAACCAACAAGACCACGCCGACTAAAGCTGTACAAATACATACACATTTCTACACATTCAGTCCCAAAGGACAACGATCTGTTCAAGTTTAGATACTCTCTTTTTGGCTCATGAGTTGCACATCTCCAGAGGGCAGTGTTGTTCCAAGTTGTACATTCCATACATACAATGTATACGTAACAATGTAAATGTCAGTTAATTGTACGCATGTAAATTAGCAATGTGTTTGTAGATGTTATTAAAATACTTTCTAAGTTATTGTCAGAAAACATAAAAAGAATTGGATTTATATAGTGCCATACGCTGGTAATAGCATCAAAGTGTATAGAATATAAAATATTACTAGTGACAACAAAAAGAACCACACATTAAATCCACCTTTCCTGCAACCCTTTTATTTCTGTACACATTTATACAACACTGATATTTTGTAAGAACCTTAAATTTTCTATAAACATAGAATTAAAAGTTGTCATTTATATATTATAAGTGCCTGTTTATGGTTTAAATTTTATGTGTAGCAGTGTCGTATCTAGAGGTATTAACAGGGGTGGGTGGGGCACGGTATTAACTACTTGAATATCATTATTTTAATGGGCAGATGGTTCAAGCTTGCACTCCCCGCCCCCCCCCATGCCCCTAGACATGGAAGACTTTTAACTGTCAAACATGACCATTATCTTTAATAATATGTGCTTGTTCATTGCAGTTAAAAAGACTGCAATACGTATATTCAATGTTGCTAGTGCATGGTTTCATGTGAAGTAACAATCAAACATGGCAATTGTCTTGTTCTGTTCAGTCGAAAACACTGCATTAAATTCATGATGTTGATGAAATCATGTAAAAGCAATAACATATTTTCCAAGCTGCTGGAAAATGGCTTTATGTGAAGTACCAGTTGAACATAGCATTTGTCTTTGATATGTCTGCTTGTTCTCTACAGTTGAATATATTCACGATCTGCCTAAAGTTCAATATGCTTGTCTGATTAGCCTATTATTGTCCGTCTCATTGCCTTTCATACATAGCTTTTAGCAGAGCGTAACCTTCAGAGTAACGTGCATAATCTGCTTGTGTAGTCTCTTTCCATCTGGAAAACAGGAAAAGCAAGAAAGAGGTAATTGCCTTTATAATAGAAAAATACTAAACCCTCCCCCCCTTCTTATAACAACACAAACAGGGCATTGATGCAGACCAACATTACAAGTGAAGCTTGAAGCTCCATTGCTAAAGTGCTGTTCAAACTATCAAATTTTATTTGACAAAAACATGTGACATGCCTAAATATGGTCATATCATGACCATATATAGGCACATCATGACTATATATAGGCATACAACAGTTTTTTGGTAGTGTGGACAGAGCTTTAATTTGCATGAGTCCCATATATGGGCATAATAATATCATATCGCATCCATATATGGAAAATGATAGCTATATTGGATAAAACCATCATCACTTCAATACTACTACAGTACTTGTCTTTTTGACATCATCCTTTTACCAAATCATGCCCTTTGTCACAGTCAACCATGTTCTTTTTGGTCTTTTCTGTTGCATATACCTCCACCCATTTAAAATGGCTGAAACAAATTAACACCACTTGAACTCACTTAGTTCTGATCTGTCTCCATCTTTGGAGGTGGTTTTGCAGGAGAACCTCTCCAGGGGGTGCCTGCTCAGGATCCATGTTGATGTCCAGTGCTTCATCTGGCTGGGGAACAGGGGATGGTATCCTAGGATCACGTTCATCAGGGGATACTTTTTTAGGGGATAGAGGTGGTGGCATTTTGTATATATCTTTTAATGGGGTTTCCTAGAGTAAAGATATATTAAGATCGTTAGTGATAATGGTTTATAATAATGCTTATGATATACCATAAATAGCATTGCAATCACATATACATATTTGAAAATAAGTACAGTATACTATAAGTAATATGACAGATATTAATAACTGATTTTGTATGGTTTAAATAAACCACTACCATTGTAATGATAATGACATTGTTACCAACATTGTCATTAATATTAGTATATCACTAACAGTTCTGCTATAACATTGCTACTGTAAGTTTGCACTTATTTTTATTACTATCATTTTTATTAAAACCTTGATTCAAGATATAACATAAAATCATCACACCTGATCTGAATCTGGCAATGGTTCTGGTGACGGAGTTCGCGTTCTTGTAGGTCGCTTGGAGTGCGGTTGATTATTCATCCAATCACGACACACAGGGTATAGCGGGGTGGTGCTCTCAAACTGTGCCAAATCCAAACTTCGATCAAATAACTTCATGATGTACGTATCTAAGGGGAGCATAAAACTAAACATAGTAGTACCAGCCAAATTTAAAATGTAACCATCACTAATGCATCAAATTTCATCATCAGAGGGATCACACTGAAAATGGATTATCCTTCAAATGCTTCACACCAAAGAAACTGAATCTAATCTAAATTTGGGATTCCATGATAATAAGTGATATTTACGTGACTTACGTTTTAGGTGCATGCCTTCAACGAGTGACGTGTCAAATTCAGCATTGGATGACAACTCCTTTTTCTTTCGTTTTCTTGAACGAGCTGATAACTTCTTTGGAGGAGATGTAGATACAGACGACCCCTCACTAAAAAAAAATAAGAACACAAATAACATAATGAAAACATCCATAGATCTCCATTGCTGTGACAGGCAAGCAAATAAAAAGCATGACTTATTTCTAGATCTACACACAGAATAACAATAATGAATTACACAACTGTCATTAGAAAATATAATGTGGCACAGTCACCCTTAATTCTTTAACCTTTACTTTAATAAGTACCCAATTACAGATCAGTTACCTTTTGATGTCTTGAGGACTCTTTGACAATTCATCTTCTGAGGGATCCCTATATATAAAAAAACAAAAGTTCAGAAATATTATAATCATTATTAGTATAGACAAAGTACATAACAAAATAAAGTAGAAGAATGAAACATTTGAAATACAGTATGATATACCCCAGCTATGAAGAAAGCAATACTGAAACCTAAAATAATACATGTTCAATGGTGCTTTACATTACAATTTGCTTCGCATAATCCACTTCAGTGGACCCCAACATATGTATGTTTGTATATGGAAGAAGCAAAAGTTAATGGTTCAAGTTGCCTACTCTTACCCTTCATCTGCTTGATCAACAAGGGTTTGAAGAACACCATCCAAGCGACTCCTTGCAACTGTCACATCAGGACTGTTCAATACTTCCTGCTTGATTTCCACTGACATTTTCCTAGTAAATAGGCCTAAATGAATTAGTAAATTATAGAAGAATGATATCGTTATAATTTAGCCTACTGTAGATTTATTTCATCAATCAAAAAACTAAAATTAAAATTACACTCTATAATAGGCTTAAAACAAATAAATAAGGGGCAGGCCTAGGCCCTCTCCTGCGGCAAGGCACTGTAGTAGAAGTAGTAGGGTGGCTTCTGCAACTTTAGTCTCTAGCCTAGGTACAAGAGCTGTCTCTTATACACATCTTAATATGACAGATATTAATAACTGATTTTGTATGGTTTAAATAAACCACTACCATTGTAATGATAATGACATTGTTACCAACATTGTCATTAATATTAGTATATCACTAACAGTTCTGCTATAACATTGCTACTGAAGTTTGCACTTATTTTTATTACTATCATTTTTATTAAAACCTTGATTCAAGATATAACATAAAATCATCACACCTGATCTGAATCTGGCAATGTCATAAAAAATTGAAATAGAAAAACCACATTATGATTTTTTAAAATGTTAAACATTTATTTTCAATCCGACTAAAATCAAATGAATGCACGATGGCGTGCATTTCGATACTATTTTCTTCAGAACCACGCCCAAGAATTAGGCCTACGTTAAAATTAGGTGGGGTGCAGCATCTGATATCAATTATCCACAACAGGAACAATTGGTATTGTTGAGTGACAGACTTCAGTCCTTCATATTTGTTCGACCATTGGGGGCTTTGTTTGAAACCCGTCAGTGACAAGGATGCATCCAATGACGTGATTCACCAGTGACATGTCGGTCCTTTTCAAATATTTACTTTAATAATACTAATTAGTCATAATAATGATAATAAAGGTGATAACAACAACAATATTAATAGTTAGTAATATTTATTTTAACAATACTAATAGAAATAATATGGTAATAATAACGATATTTAAATATCTATTTTAATAATACTAATTAGTGATAATAACATTGAAGGTGATAATAGCAATAATTAAACAGCAATGATAGATTAAAGATAACGTTTATTTTTATAATAATAGTAATACTAATTAGTAATAATAATAATAATTATGATACTTATAATACTAGGCCTACTTAGTAATAATAGGGTAATAATATCGATAATAAAGTTGACAACAGCAACAACAACCATAATAATAATAATAATAATATGAGAAAAATACCAATAAAACACCAATAACAATATTTTTAAAATTACTAATATTAAAATAATAATACTAAGACTAATATATAATAATAATATGAATTAAAAAAATCGAGAATTTTGTATTATTTATATGGTAACCGAAAGGTCCACTGATTAATCTCAGATAAGAAAGTATAATACATACTCCAAGTATTGAAATACACGCCATCGTGTTGGGATTCAATATTTCGACATTAATTATGTCATCATCAGGTAACAATAATAATATCAGCAAAAATTTAAACAATACATAATGTTAATACTAAGACTAATAATTTATATTAAAACTAACGGTAATAAAAACAAAACAATGACACCAATAATAACAGCAATATTGTTGACTTGTGGTCGAGTTAACTTGTGGCCGAGTTGACTTGTGGCCGAGTTGACTGCAGCTGAACTTTTTGTGGCCGAGTTGACTTGTGGCCGAGTTGACTGTGGCCGAGTTGACTTGTGGCCGAGTTGGATCGAATTCGTACAAGAGGGCCAGGCTAGCCTAAGGTAGGTGAATAGGATTATAGGGTAAGGTAGGGTACCCAGGCCTAGCCTAGTAACATAGTTCTTGATTTGCCCTATCTGCCACATAACGGGTCAATAATAACCTATAAGCAATAAACTGTATATTGTGTTAGTTTTATAGTATTTTACCTATGAAAAATGATGCATAAAAGCTTAGGCCTAATTTCGAATCAGACGCCCTTACCGTACACTTTGACCTCAGAATCACTTTAACCTGGTCCTATAGTCTTTAAAAATGTTTACCACAACATAGATTTTAAATTAGTCAATTTTATTTATTCTATTATAAATTATTAATTAATAAAAGAAAATAAAGTTTTATGTTGTTATTATTGACGATATAATTATTTAATGACTTATGTCAATATGAAGAATAAAATATTCAACTTAGTCTTAGGTCATGTAAGGTTCGTAGTACACATGTTGGTGGTAGCATGCTGAATTTGTTGACAAACTTGGTTGGGGTGTAGTGTAGTATAAAGTCTTCCATTTTGTATGCATAATTGAAAGATGTCATTCTTCATTAAGGGTTCGGGTAAAACTAAGACCAAAAAGCGTAAGGTATGTTTTTTTCCATGTTTTGAATACACTAATTAGCCTAGGCTAAGGCAACGTGTTACGTCGGAGCGTGTGTGTAGAGAGTAGAGGAGAGGCTGCGTGCCATAGCAGAGTGACCTCAGCGGAGGCCCAGTTAGGCCTAGCCTAGGAAGTATACTACTTATAATAACATTAGGGGTCTAGGCTTGCTACCCACACAGACAGACATATCAGTGTTAGACCTTATTCATATAGTAACTACATAAGATTCAAGATTCAAAACTTTATTCATCCTCAGTAAGGAAATTTTATTTCTTGCATCGGAACAGTACAAAGACTAGAGATAAAATGTAACAAGAAGAAAGTTAAAAATTGTAAAGAGTAAAAATGTAAAAAAAGACAGCAAAAATGGCGTTAATGCACTTTCGCACCTAACTTTTAATTCTTAATTTTTACCTCAAATTATAAGACTGGCCTTGTTTCAAAATTTCAGAATTGACTCAGACATTCTGGCAATTTCTTAATTGATTACAAAGCAGCAAAACAGCACTGTACTGTATGTACAGCTCGCCGTGCTAGCAAGCGCGGAAAGACTGTATTAACCTGTATATATAAAGGTATCTTTTTTTGTTGAAAAATGTACTTTGTGAGTGGTAGAATCATGTAAATATATTTTATAATTAGGCCTACTACATGTTGTGACTGTGAAAAGAACATTGAGGTAAAAAAATTAAGAATTAAACGTTAGTTGCGAAAGTGCATTAGCGCCGCAAAAACAGAAAAAAAAATTAAAAGTTCTGTATGCATTGTTCAAATTTTGTGAGATGCAGAGAATTAACTTCATTCAGGTATATTAGAAAATATAGAATAAGGATAAGGGCTATGACTTTTGTTCACACACAAAACCAAATTGCTAGCATTATCTACATAAATAAATCTGAAAATTATCAATCTAGATAGCTCAAAATGTTGATGTTTTATTTGAAATTATGAAATTTCAATGAAAAATAAACCTACATAATACAGTAGTTCTTCCTAATTAATAGTTTTCTTTTAATTAAAAAGCCAACTACTCCAGAGAAAGCTGTACCAAAGAAAAAGGCAAGAAGACCAAGAAATGATGAAATACTTAGCGAGTCAGATGACAGGTATTATATTTTATTGAAATGTTTATTATAAATTTTAATCATATTTAGAGGAAGGCCAAGAATTACCTTACCACCAGTAACTCTATCCAATGACCTACTGTAATAGCCCTTCAGAAAGCAAATGCCAAGTAGAACTTAACCCCAGTGAGTTGAAGAAAATAAAGGCCAACCCAGACAACATACCACGCAGCCTGACATGATTTTTTTGGCGCTTCAGATCTGTGCGAGTTAAATGCAGTCTTGCCGTAGAATATTATACATGTTTAATATTTCTCACGACTGTCCCCGATGATGAATCGTGTTGGCTGCGACGTACAATGCATTCTGAGTTGGCCTTTAAAGATCTGAAACATCTTGCCAATGAGTGACCAGCATGGAAACAACTTGTACAGCAAAAGCACAGTGCAGCCCAAGTGGAGAAGCCGGCAGACTATTGGCGGAGAGGCATTAACGTAATGTAATCTAATCATGGGGAACATTGTTAATTTTAAGGATTGAGTTAACATCCTTAATTGCCTCTCATCCCACAACTGTAGCGTTGAGACGTAGTAGGGGCTCGGGATTTAAGGTTGAAAATGAAGTAAAATTAATATTCTTTATTGTTACTTTGATTTTTTTTGTAAATTTTACAGTGACAATGAAAGGAAGAAAGATAGTGATATCGAGTTGTCTGAGGCTGAAGAAGAGACTGCCCAAGAGAAACGACTCCGGCTTACAAAACTTTATTTATCACAACTTGAACAAGAAGGTAATCTTCAGTACTGTATTTATAATGTATTTATTCATAAAGTGCCAAAACTGAACATTCAGATTTTGTCATGTACTGTAAGTTGGACTTGGTAACGATTGGATGAATCAATTTTAGAACTTGGTATTTGATGAAAGTGACAGAAATCCATTCAATTTGAAATTTTCCTTGAAATTGTAGTGAGTGTGAGAGCAGCATTTTGAATATAAATTGGTATGAAATAAATGATTTAAATTGAAATTGATCTGCCAGGGTGCCAACCCGAAAATTAGTAATTCTTCCCAACGAGTGAAGAAAGTGCATTATTGTGTATGATAAATTGTTTATCTAATGTCCACAGAAATATGGGCACTTTGTATCCTCTGGAAAATATGCAATATAAAAAATAAGATCGTTTAAAATTTTTGCCATTTTAAGTGTAGAAATATGCATATAATTTAGCAACTATTTTGAACTACAGAACATTAAGATGCTGTGAAATATTCCTTGCTCTATATACAGTAAAAATATTTGTATAATTTTTATACTGTTTTTATAAAAACCATATTTTTTAATTTTAGAAAGAGACAAAAGTGAATTACATGAAATAGATGAAGATGCCGTAGCTCACAGATTACAAGATGAAATTGTGAGTTAATTGTAGGGAAACCTGTATATGTATGTAAAAACAGTTGAAATGTAGATTCTTATTTCTATTCCTGTTTCTACTTTGTGTACTGTGTATTTTATATTTTAAATTATAAATATTAAATGTACAGTACTTCTATTTGTTATGCAACAATATGGAATTCAATCAACAGCTACACTCTATAAGCATTTATAGGTTAAAGATTTTCCCACACAAATAAAATATATTAACGGTACTAGGTAAAGACAACTTGATGTCTTGCTTCGAACAAGGTATCCATTGGATGAAGTCTTATGAAGATAAGCCTATCCAATAGTGGTGTTAAAAGGTCGGGACCAGGACATACTTTCGACTTTATATTGACAAAGATTGAAATTATGTTAAAAACACACACAATGTATACACATGCCTAGGCCTAGTTCTAGAGTCCAGTTAAATATGTAATTATGTATCGAAAAGATATATTTTGTCATAAACATTATGCGTAAATATGTATTTTGTAAAGTAAAATTAATTAAATTTAACGAAAATATGGAAGAACCATAGGAAGAAAGAAGAATAGGAAAGAAATTTGGAGCGGCTGAAATAACACGGAAAATAGTCAATAATAATCATTTTGTCATTATTGCATCACGTTTTTGTGAAAATTTGTTGACAATAATCATCAGAGGTCAAGGTGCCGGCAGCCTACACGTTTCATATATTCGACATCGAACACAAGACCTATATATAATATAATATATATCTGTGGGCCCTATGGGAGAAAAGTACTATTATACTAAAAAGTTCACTGAGTAGAAATAAAAATACAAGAAATATAATATATTATAATTTGTCTCCTTATATTATAGCTTGAACAAAGAGGGAAGTTGCAACGTAAAGTGGCTGAACTGCTTGTTCCCCCTACCATGGAGGACCTAAGGGTTTTGAGAGGTCACAGGTTACCACTGACCTGCCTCGTAATCTCTTCGGACAATAAGTTTATCTACAGTGCATCTAAAGATGGTGCTATTATTATGTGTAAGTCATAACTGTACTTGAATTTTTGTTTTGTTTTTGTAGCACTTTACCATTTTTGTCAAATCATATTACATAATTGATTTAGGCTGTTGTAAGTTATATATTTTCTATATGTGTTTTTTTATTTATTTATTTATTTTTGTTACAGTACAACTACATTCTGTAATTTTCAGACTACATACATTTCAATATAAATTAAAATAATATTAATATGATAGATTCATTTTATCTTTTTTTTTTTTTGTTTTTTCACATTTTACCATAATGTTTTTGCAACTTTGTTCTGTTTAATACAAGTATCAACTAAAAATTTCCTTTCTGTATCTTAAACTTTAGACTCAATTGAATTTTTTTCTTAGGGAATTTTGAAACTAGTAAGAAAATTAAAATTATTCCTGGTGGAAGAAAGGGTACAGAAGATACACATATTGGGCATACAACGCAAGTACTGGCTTTGGCTATATCAACAGATAACAAGTTTCTGGTAACATACCCTTATATATTTTAATCAGTATTTTCATGTTTTTGTCATAGTTTCCATTGAAGGGATTTAATTCATCTATTCCTAACATAATTATTATTATTAAGTCATCATTTTATCTTCTACATAATTTTTCCAATTATTTGTTGGACCGGTATACTGTATGTTTTGTGCAAAAAAACATACAAACCTGTTTACTATGACACCGCGGAAATAATTTTTACAAGGCCCAGCCAAACACATGCAGGCAGCCGAAACAATTTTGGTCTACGTTGTTGGTGAATTCAAATTAACCCTAGGTTAGGCCTACAAAGGCCTAGGACTAGATGAGATAACAAGTTGATTGATTTGACTGCCAATTGAAGGAAATCTTTTCCATAATCAGCATTAAATACAGTTGTGGCTTACAGGATGGAAAAAATTCTCTAAAAACTCTTGTAAGTTCCATTATGATGCTCAAAGAGTGGTGTTTTTTTCCTGACTTTAGTCACTGAAAAAATTTTGTTAGGAATTGAACCCAGGACTCTTAGGATTAAATGGGCAAGCATTTTGATAATTGAGCTACATCTCACTTAATTTTTTCATCAGTAAAAAGATATGAAATTTAGTTTTGGAGTAATGCAGTTAGAATTATAATATAATGTTGTTAGTTTCCATTACTTCCAATAATAAGAAATAGAACTTCTTGTAAGCGCTTCTCTAACTAATTGATTATATCTGACATACATTTAAGGGAGTAATATACCAAGAAATATATTTGTTGAGCTATTGTGTTCTACATAGAATAGCAGAACTGATCGTTGAGGACCCTAAATGCTTTACTTACAAGCCTCTTCCAGAGGCTTCACTTTGGGGGAAAATTCTGCCGTTTAATGTAATTATGGGATTGATAAGCTGTAGGTTTCATTTTCACTTTTTCATTTTTACATTTTATTGATTACTTAATGTGTTTAAATAATTATTTGTGATATTGTTTTATATTGATAGGCATCTGGTTGTAAAAGCAAAGTCATACATATATGGAATCCTCAGAGCATGGAACGTATACACACTTTCAAAGGCCATAGGGACTCAATATCGGTAAGAACCTGAATTCATGTAAAAACTAAGTATAGAGAGGGCGCTCTGAAGGTGGAGTGTCCTGCTACATGGTGTAAGAAGTAATGAACACTATTATGCAGTCCAAATTTTGTAGACCTGTTTCTTTTACAAAATGCCGATTTTGGAATTTTTTTGCAAAGAAAGTACAACATTTGACTTATAAATTTACACAATTGAAAACTAAGATAGATATAATTCATCATTGCAATTAGGTCAGAATAGTTACCATCTTTAACATTTTGTAATGAAAAATAATTATTTTCTATTTTATACTTCTGTAAATATTTTTGCTTCAGTACTTAATTTTCTTTTCTTGGGTTTAATTTCTCTATCCTATTAGGGGCTGGCATTTAGAAAGGGGACACATCAGTTATTCAGTGCATCTCATGATAGATCAGTCAAGGTGTGGAATCTGGACGAGATGGCCTACGTCGAAACACTGTAAGAATAAATATTTATGTTGTTGCTCTATCACCAGTATCATTTTACCGGCAGGTAGTAAAACGCGTCTTGTCTCTCAACCTATCCATAACCAAGTCATGTTGGTGGAGAGAGAGAGAGCACTGTACTGATATTTACATATCTGTCCACCAAGATAAAATCTGCAATCTAATCATAAAATTGCTAAAGATGTCTAAAAATAATATTAAACATGTTTTTAACATGAAAATATAGTAATAACCACCACTGGAATAAGTTGTTGTAACTAATTTAATGACTTCAGGAAATAATTGATAATACAGTGGTAAAGGTAAAGACAATGCTGTTTTCATTATTGAATGTAGGGGGATGAGCTGTTAGCCCATCGTACTAAGCCTCTGCATTGTGCGGTAGGGTGGCCAGTTCCTTTCCACGCTGCCTTTTTCTCTCCCCGGTAGTGAACTACCGGGTACACATTTTTACTCCAGGGAGGATAGAGACAAACGTATATAAAATGCCTTGTCCAAGAACACAACCGAAATGCCCAGAGAAGGTTACCCTAACCCTAACCCTAACCCTAACCCTAGACTTCGAGGCTGAGAGACCGAAACGCAATACAACTACTAAACCCACTAATACAGTAGTCAAAACATGCAAATATGAATATGCGGGAGAAGGGTTAGGTTTGCTTGAGGGAGTGTGGGAGCCTGTTCAATTTCCGAGAGACTGCACAACCTGCGAGAGACTTAGGAACCCAGAATTACCGCATATATTAAATAATAAATAAATAATAATAATAAATGCCCCAGGGAATTTATTGTTGAGAGAGGTGTATTTGGAGGCATTTATTCAAGGGTGGCGTTTATTTTTTTTGGTATAAAATGGATATTTATATACTCAAATAAATGGCCCTTAATTTCATTGTAAAAGTAAACATAATTACTGTCAATATGTGTTATTACGTGAACCAGGTTTGAAAAAATGTAAATCTACTGGAGTAGAATATTAATAGAATGTGTTGAGAATGGTGTTGCTTCCATTAGTTTTGTTTACAGTAATTTAGGGTGCATTTATTCAAGGAAAAATAAATGCCCCCGGGCATTTATTCTAAATGAGACTCAGGAGGTGGAATTTATTCGAAAGCAGCATTTATTCAAAGTGGGGCGTTTATTGAATGAATACGGTATTTCCTTATATTTATATTTATTTGCTTTTCATCTGTAAAATATATTCTTGTTTTCTTTATTTACTTTTAGGTTTGGTCATCAAGATTCTATAACTGCTATAGACAGTCTGACGCGTGACAGAGCTGTTACTGCTGGCAGTCGGGATAATACAGTCAGAATATGGAAAATCCCAGAGGAATCCCAGCTAGTTTTTAAAGGCCACAGGTAAAGCTCTAGCCTGCTATGGCAAATTTTATTTGACAAATAACTTTAATTTGTCTATGGGTATGGTATGACATCACCAGCAGCTTAGCCTAGTCAAGAGAGTGGCATAGCTCAGTCGGCTTAAGAGTGGTAGCCACTTTGTTTGCATTGAATTGTGGAGATCACTTGGTCCCTGTGCAATTCCCATCGCTGCTTGTGTTTCAGTCGGAGGGCAGAAATGCAAGTTTCAATAGTGCACCATCTGTCAATATGGCAATGCCATATGGGATGTGTGCACGTTAAATGTAGTACGCTCTTCGGGAAAAGAGTAGGGGATTGTCTCCTGGTGTGCTGCCAAATCACCACCAGAAAAACTCCACTGAAAATACGTATTCTTCATGCTTTCATGGGTTATCCTTGGTGTTAACACGGAATGAATCCAGTCCAATCAATTCCCCTATATGGATGTGATATGACATCATCATGCCTATATAATTGCAGTTTACACTGAGCTGCAAGTGAATATTGAATATTTGTGATTTGAATATTTTTAAATTTAAAAAAAATATGTAAGGTATTTTATTTCTAAGTATTTTTTTTATTGTTTTAGTAATTTAATTCAAGTCTCAATGTGTAAATATTTTATTCATCAACTCAATTGTGAAGTATTTTTAAGTCAATGTTTTACTAATAACTTTGCTCTTAATTCAGCTCTTTTGCTGCAAATGAGTGATTTTATGTATATATTTATATTTTTGATGTTAATAAATAAACCTGAATAATAATAATAGCAAAAAGTGTTATTTTTTAGTGGTTCCATTGATTGTATTCGACTGATCAACGAAGAACATATGATATCTGGAGGAGAGGATGGGTACGTTGTCTTTACCTTTTTTTTCCCCTTTTCTTCATTTCTTGTCGTGCACATTTTCTGGCCCGATCCACAATTGTTATTGAATGTGATCTTTTATTCCAGTTCAGTTGCCGTCTGGAGTATAATGAAGAAGAAACCTATTGCTGTAGTAGAGAATGCACATGAAAACTCTGATGGAGCCCGCCATCAACAAAACTGGATAAGTGCAGTGGCGGCCTTGCACAATACTGACCTGTTGGCTACAGGTACATGTAGGTAGAAGTTGGGTTTCCAACTCATCTGTTGTAGTATAGTAATGTAGTTGTGCAAAAAAAAAAATTAATTTCAGAATCAGCTTTTGGTTTTTGCAGTTCTCAAAAAACTTTTTTGATTTATTAAAATGGTGCACTTTTCAAGCCTTAAATACTAGTTTACTAGATCAGGGATTGTGTGTTCTGACCTGGGAGATGGCACCAACACAGTGCCACCAGTCGGCAAGCCTGGAGATGTAGCTTAACCTGTACATTACAGTCATTTGATAATAATAAGTGTTAGCGACCGAGCGTGCCATTTAAGTTTCAAAACTTTTAGTCTATTTATTAAGTACAGTATAGTAGGAAGAACAAGGTCTCCCTCTAATTAAAGACCCCTCCAAAAAGACCACCTCCAATTAAAGACCACTTTTCTGTGGTCCCAACTTGACAAATGTCTGTCATTATTATTCTAATTAGAGACCAAAGCTGCTAAAGACCATGGAAAACCTGGTCACAAAAGTGGTCTTTAATTGGAGGGAGAATTCTATAATTATTACAGCACAAAGCTGACTTGAAGAGGCCCTCTATGAACAGTGCAGTACAACTATACAATATGAAAGATTACAATGAGCCAAACAGGAGTATCAATAATTGTTATTGTTAATCTAATTGATATTGTTATTGATATTATGTTTAATCATCACTTTATTCCTAATACTTTTTCATGATTTTATACTAATTAAAGGCTCAAGAGACTCATTTATTAGACTGTGGCATTGTGGGACAGGATTCAGATCTCTCACCCCTCTCTTCAATATCCCAGTGGTAGGTACATGTGTTACTGTATAAATAGTTGATGTTTATGAGTGCAATGGGAACAAATATGCATCATTCCATTCAAATTGGCTCCACCTTGTTATATCCACAATGAATTGATTTTCTATTTTCAATTTAATGGTTTTATTAGTCCATCTCAACATGGATTTTACCCACATAGATCTTATGTAACACAAACTGTATCCCTTTATCATGAATGGTCTGAAACACTTGATGCTGTAAATCCACCTGTAATTGATGCTATTTTTCTGGATTGGGAAAAAGCGTTCGATTGTGTGAGCCACGGTAAACTAATACAAAAACTTCATGATATGAGTATGTATGGTCTAATTAGCTTAAGTCTTTTCTCATGGTTAGATCCCAGCGAGTTATTTTGCATCATTAGACCTCTACGTGGGCTCTGTTTTATTCTGGACTCACACAGGGATCTGTACTTGGCCGCTTCTATTTAATGCTTTTGTGTTTGACCTCCCATGACAATATCATCTCAAATTAGGCGATATGCTGACGATAATATTGTTTTCAGAGCAATTAAAAGTGATCACGAATCTCTTCAACTTCAATATGACCTAAATTCTATCTCCCATTGGTGCAAAGAAATTATGATGAAATTAAACTCAAATAAGTACAAAGTCCTTCATATTACTTGCAAAAGAAACTTCATTCCCTATATTACATATACTATTGACTCAGATCCTCTGTCTTGCCCAACCTCTCACAAATACCTCGGCATAACTTTCTTTCATGATCTTTCATGGTCATCACACGTTCCCACTGTCTCCACCAAAATCACTTCAGATTCTTGGTTTTATTAAACGTTCTGTTGCTTATTATGACCCCAAAATCCTCCTTTGCCTTTTCAATGCTATCTGTAAGCCCATACTTGAGTACGCAGCAGTTTTTTTAATTTCTTTCTTTTTACATTAATTTTCTCTTTTTTTAATAGATGGGCTCTGTTAATGATTTACAGTTCACAAGTGATGGGCGCCACCTAGTGGCAGCAGTTGGCCAGGAACACAAGTGGGGTAGATGGTGGCGGCTGAAAAATGCAAAGAACTGCATTGTTATCATTAAGTTAAAGAAAGACAAGGATGTTTGAATTGAATGAAAAAAGGTCAAATATCAGCAATATTTGGATCAAAACGGTTAGCGCCAAAATACATACTCTGAATACACCAAAGATAATGGCACTTACCCCGGTATTCTTAAAACAAACTTTAGTCGTAGTTAGGAACTAAAAAACTTAGAAAATACGTCATTTCGTATTCTTAAAGCGAACTTCGACTAGCACTAAGACTAATTCTCATCGTTTTGTAACTTATTTAGAACCCCTTGAGTTGGAACGATATTTGGTAAAATTCGGTTTTCTGCCTTACTAGCTTTTGTATATTTGAATTTCTTGAACATAAGCTCTTGGCACTGAAAACCCATGCAAGATAATTAATATTTAGAACAAGATAAAAAAGTTTTCCTTGCCAAGTAACAGGCACATAAATAATAACATTCTTATTCTTTGCATAGACACATAAAATGAAATAATTTATTTAGCACTACACCTGATGAAGCCCCAGCAAAAGCTCATGATTATAATCATATCGTTATTTAAAAATGTGATACAAACCGATTTCTTATTTACTGATTAATATGGCTACTCGACTACCTTTTAATAATTTATTTGATTCTTTTAAATGAGTAATCACATTTTTAAGGTTTTAGCATAGTATATCCAGTGCCGTATCTAGGGAGTGCGCAGGGGTCCATGCCCCCCCCCCCCCAAAATGGCTCACTTTCCCCACTCGCTCTCAAGTAGTTGAAAGTAACCTCATCGAATTTTTTTTTTGCAAGGTAGGGCCCTCACTTAATTTTCAAGTCCCCCTACTTCACCTTTTTCCCCCCTCCCATCATCCCCCATTTCAAAATTCCTAGACACACCACTGAGCATATTTTGAAGTATATATAAATTGACACCATAATTTTGGGCCCATATTTAATCAAATATTAATATTAATATTTCACTAATGTATCTAGATCTCCAAAGCGTCCCAGCTTTGATATAGAATTTACAATACATTACATAGTACTTCACCTAGTGATAGCTATGTTAATGCTTCCGAACTCAATTACCATTTAATCATTTTTAATATTAAATAAAAGTAACATTTTTTTAAAAGTTGCATAACATTTTCTTCATAAAATGAATTTTGAAGGTAAAGAGAAATGTTTCTTTTTCAAAGTGGTCTGTACAAAGATGACAAACTAATAAAATTATGTTTATACAATAACATGATATTGTCAGCATTTTGTTTGTGCAAAATAAGCATGTTAGAAATAGGATGTACTTAAGTTCTTTGGAGAGGAAAAGGAGTTTATAAAGGAAAACAATTACTACTTGGTGAGATCTTCTAGTACCAGGATATACGAGGTCATTCACACTTCAATTAACTGGGTTGCATTTAGCATAAGATTCAATTTTGTATCAGTTTAGGTTATTTTATTTCTATCCTTCTTATTTATTTTTTTATTATTCAGGGGCTTTATTCCTATCGTTTTAACTAACAAAATACATATACCAAAAAGTAAATAAATGTCTGCGCTGATATATTGTGGGTTTCATATCACATTTTAGACAAAATACACTTGTATTTTTTCAGGCCATAAAACTCATAGAAAATTTCTGTTGTCCTACTGTTTGTACATGAAAAATATGACGACGGCAATATTTATGTATATGTAATACATTATTACATTATTTTATGTATTTTAATACCTAATATTTCACACCCTGCCATCAATACAAAGCTGGCTAACTAAGCATTGCAAGCTAAGAATGGTCACATGCAGTTCAACCTCCCAACCACAAGGTTTGGAATCTGAAGGAAATATGTATAAAATAAACAGCTTTATTCGTTTTGTATTGCTTTATTGTTACTAAACCTAATTAAATATAGGCTTACATTTACTAAGTAACGATGTATTGCTTCATTGTTACTAAACCTAGTAAATGTAAACCTGTATTTAATTAGGAACCTAATTAGGAAGCTTAGGACATAATGTCCGAACTAACTAGAAGCACTGGTAACGACACCCTCCGGTACTAACCTTTGATATAGTGAAAAGATTTTACTTTGATATCTTTGGTTAATTTTTTTTTTAAATTTTAGAATCATAACTGTAAATACTCTTAATGATAGAGGCATACATGTGTTAGAATAAGTAAGAATATTACAGCACAGAAGTAGACTAGAAATTGCGCATCCCATAAACACACATGTTTACGTACGTTTACACTTATTCTGTGGGAAATATACTCAAAGAGCGGGCTTAGCGAAACAGTCATTATGAATAGGAACGAAATATCAAGAAAGGAAATAAACTTTAAAATATGCCCTACATGAAATTGCGTGCATTTGCAGAAGCATGACGAAATTGAGAATTCCGTTTCAATAGACGCCAGTGACGTAACTGTTGATCCAATCTTTATATTTGATAAGCTTCGTGTAGTAACCATAATTCCCGATGGTCCCGCAGTTTTTGTTTCCCCAACTAACAATACCCAACTGCTGCCAACGACCATTTTTCTCATAGACAAGTGGACCCCCACTATCCCCGTTACAGGTATCTTGTATCCCGTTGGCGTAACCTGCGCATATCATGTTTTTTGTTACTGGAAATTCGGTAGCATTTGTACATGTCTTTGTTCCTACAAGAGGTATTGTGATTTCTTGCAAATACCTCGGAAACCTGACTACAGCTCCTTCCAGTCTCCCCCATCCCATAGCACGAACAAGTTTTCCTGGCTTAGAAATCTTTTTAACAAGGGCCTTATTTGGCAGACAAACAGGCTTCACGTATTCGGTGAATTTCCGAATTTTTCTCGTAATCCTGATAAGTGCAATGTCGTTATCAAATGTTGAAGCAGAAAACTGTTGATGGAGTCTATATTCTTGTACTTCGAATTTCTCTTCGTCTCGTCCGATGATCAAACTATCGTAATCACCAACCCACACAACGAAATCGTTTCTACTACTTATTCGTAAGTGTTTTTTGTCGGCTAAGCAATGTGCAGCTGTGAGAATCCATTCGTAATTTAGTATGCTTCCACCGCAGAAGAATTTCTTTGCTTTCCTGTGAAAAAGACGTACCATCCATGGTGCCGAACCATTTATCGATGTTTCACCATTCACAATATACCCTGTGTTTTCATCTTTGATGCTTTCTAGGTATTCTTTTGAGTTCAAGATTCCACACACTATAAAATAATATGTACATTATATTTTAGAGTAAAGAATGCATTATGATATATGACTAAATTTGTTACAGCACTATCCTTTTTTTTAAACATGTGACGTGCCTAAATATGGTCAAGATGACACATCGCATCATTACCATATATAGGCATATCATGACTACTGATAGTAATTTGATAGTCTGGACAGAGCCTATGTTAAGTCAACTTAAAACTTACCAGTTGACACATGAATTTCATCTGTTAACAGTTTTTTTATTTTTTTTTATTTTACATTTTAGACCTTGGGTGTTATATTACAGTATTTCTGAACCTATTTCCTTTTAGCAGCTCTGCCTTTTTAAAAATCGCATTTCGAATAGTTTATTGTAATTGTTTCTGATTGCTTTTGTGTGTCATGTTTATGTACCATGTAAATTAATTCGAAAATTACTTTTTTTGAAATTTGTTAGTGTTATAAAAAAAAAGCCCATGGTATAGTTTATTGTAATTGTTTCTGATTGCTTTTGTGTGTCATGTTTATGTACCATGTAAATTAATTCGAAAATTACTTTTTTTGAAATTTGTTAGTGTTATAAAAAAAAAAGCCCATGGTAACATGTGCATGAGATAGTTATATAATTTAGCACATTAAAATATTGCATTGTCATTTTTATATTGTTATTAGGCCTATGGTACTATTCCATGGGGAAGAGGCGAAGAAGTAAAATCTGCTTGGCTCAATACTACATATTATTTGTAGCTTTATTTGAACCCGTGAAAAATATGAGGTCTCGTTAGTGGTTTCCATACCATCGCTACACGCTATCACCAACAGCTTTCGGTGATGCTGATTGGCCAATTGAATCGTCAGGGACTGCTACGCAGTAACGATAGCGCTGAGAACACTGTAGCGACAATGTAGCGACTGTATGGAAACCGAGCTTAATCAAACTAAACAACTGACCAATCAGTTATTAATTCACAAGAAATCATTTTCAGTGATTTTAAGATGTCATTAAATTTGCTGGCAATAAAATATCAATCAATACCGGTAAATGTTTAATATATAAATATATTATATTAAACGAAGCAGTTTAATTTTATTTTCAAGTTTATTAGCCTTACTTTACAGTGTGTTTCCAGCATGGTCGCAAATCCTGGGGGTGGGGTGGGTGGCAGGGGACTCCCTCGCGTTTCGTCAGCAATATAAATTCCTAAGTGAAGAAATGCCTAAACATTGTTGAAGTGAACTGCATAAATGACCAGGTTTTACCGAAACCGAGACCGCTGTACAGACAGAGCATCTCATTTTTATAGCTAGATATCTGTGTGTCTGTCCACAAACATCTGAATTAACTATAATACACGATCCACATGCGCGTGCCTTTATTATAATTTGAAAAGGAGCGGTATTAGAAAAAGCGTGGGAATATAAGATTGGTTTTCGGCACATGAAGTAGGTAAAGTTAAGTAAATATTTTAAAAAGACAATTAAGCTTTATTTTTTATGGTACATTGCAGCGAATAATAGATCAATGATGATGAATTTTACTAAAACGAAGTGTCATTTTCGGCAATCTAGAGGTACTATTTCCCCAAATTTTCCTACCTCAGCCTCACCAATGTGGGGCTGCGATGGGTGTGGACTTGTGACCCATATAAAAGTGTCTTTTATGGCCATCGAGAGGTACTATATTCACCTCAGCCCTAATCATGGTGGGGCTGAGGTGGATGTGGACTCGCGGCTTTGATGTAGGTAAGAAAAGTAATTAGATGAAAGAAAAATGTTTTTAAATTTTATTTTCTATGGTACATCACACATACTAATTAGATATCTATGGTTGTCCAAAATCGCTAATAAAAGATCATGAGAAATTTGTTGCCGCTTCATTTTGCCTGGTGATGTTTTAATGTATTTTACTAGGCCTATATAAAATTGTCTTAAAATTCCGGCCATATCTAGAGGCAGGCCTATTTCTTCAATTTTTTCCACCTCAGCCCCAACCATGGTAGGGCTGAGGTGGGTGTCGGCTCATGGCTTTGAAGTAGGTAAAGTGAAGTATTTACATCAAAGACAATGTTTTTGAGTTTTATTTTCTATGGTACATGTATATTAATTAGATCTTTATGGTTGCCGAGAATCAATGTTGAAAGATCATGAGAAATGTGTCGCCACTTCATTTTAAGTATATAATTTTTATTTGACAATAATAACTGTCTCTTATACACATCTAGATGTGTATAAGAGACAGAAGATCAAGTTCGTCGACTGCTTTGTTCAAACGTGCTCTGAAAACACATCTATTTTTTGTTGCTCAAGGAAATTAATTTATTGTGAATTGATTTTTTTTTCTTTAATTTGTTTAGTTAAATGCCCACAAAACTGAGAACACCTGTGAGTTATGTACTAGCCGGTCTTTGCACCTTAAATTGCTGGTAAACGGAAGCAGTGATGTGGGTTATGATCGTTTTTCTGGTAGCCTTTAGTTTAAAAGGATAAGCTTTTTCATGGTTTTCACAAGCGCCTTGAGCACTTTAGTGGAGATGTGCGCTTAATAAATCTTATTATTATTATTATTATTATTATTATTATTATTATATAGAATGTGTCGGAGAATGATGTTGGTGAAGTGGGTTTTATTTACAGTCATTCAGGGTGGGGTGCGTTTATTCCAGGAAAAATAAACGCCCCGGGCTTTTATTCGAGTGAGGTGTTTATTCCAAATGTGACCTCTAAGTGGGGCGTTTATTCGAGGGGGAATTTATTCAATGCGGGTGTTTGGATAACGGTATGTAAATGGAAAGATTTTAAATCGCAATAGCTAACAAATTAATTATCAGTGACTAAACTGTAACTATAGTCGTGATATGTCTATATATGGTAATGATGTGATGTGTCATCTTGACCATATTTAGGCACGTTACATGTTTAAAAGAGGATAGTACTGTAACCAAATTTAGTCATATATCATTCCTCTAAGCCCTGTCCACAGATTACCAAAAAGAAAGACAAAAAATTGAGACATGCCTAAATATATGATCATCATGACAATATAGACACATGATGACTATAGACATACAATATCTTTTGTCAAAGAAAATTTGATAACCCGGGGACCGAGCGTTAGAGGTGAGGTACCGGTACCGTAGATAAAATGTAGGTCTAAAGCTGATCATAAAGTCGGTTTTCCACTGGCGAATTTATTCGCGCGAATCGAAAGCGTCGGTTCATGCGCATGCGCATTTACGTTCCTATCGGAGTTCTTTGCGATGGGAAAAAATGCGTAACCAATCAGAGCTCTGGAAGCGAATCGACGCTTATATTCGCGCGAATGAATTCGATAAGTGGAAAACCGGCTTAATGATCATACTTGAAGTAAAAACTGCTTGGAATCCGAGCCTATTATCGGCCGCATCGGATATAAAGTCGATGCGAATTGACTCTTGGGAACTGGTAAACGTTTCTGGTAGTCTTGTACCGCAATAAATGCCTTGAGAATCAGAATCTGCAAAATAACAACAATAATAATAATAATAATAGATAATAATTCAGTCATTATATTATGATTAATAAAGTGGTTTTGCTGACGACTTGCTTTTAAGATTAAAGAAAAAGTCTGCATACATCCATGACGTAGCCTTGAAAATGTAAATATCCTGGACTCTGTTATTGATTGGTTGTCCGTTACTATATGGCTAGTAGCTAAATCAAGTCATAGACATCACATTTTACAGAAGCACAACAACAATAATAACAGATAGTATCTAATTTAGATGGCTTAGGCCTACTTAGACCTACCTTCAAATTCACCGTCTCTAATTTCGATATAGTCAAAGTTACAGTGGAAGTCTTCCATATCCATTGACTTAAACTCAAGAGTTACCATGTAGCCAGGGGGTGCTGTTATTATTAATGTGCACTCAGCATCATTTGGGTAACGATCTGGATAATCTGGAGATGTGATCGTTCCATTTATGGCGCGAATCGTTTTACTGCAACCTGAATAATAAACGTTTAGCTTGAAAGTTTAATTCATCATAATAATTTTTTTTTTCTACAGTTTAACGTCTTCACATTTCTACCCGGGAAGAATTAAATCTCTTGAGGGCAGTTTAGGTAACCATGTTGTTTTGGCTTTAGTCGTTTCGGCCCTAGTCGATTTCGGCATGGGCCGTTTCGAAGAGACATCACGGAGTAGCAAAAATATGCCAATAATGTTTGTCTTATTTGCTTTATATCTATACATCATACTGATAATATGTAATGTATTAAAATTACATGTAAACTTGGTAAAAATTAATGCGGTATAGGCCTGCATAATAAAAAATATAACATAATGTTAATTATCTTTTATTTATGCTCTGACGAAGTAAAAAACCATGGTGATCATAAGACTAAAAAAAAAAAGACTATAAAATAATATAACCAACCTATCTAAATATTTTCCTCCGTTGTTTCACTGTTACATGAAGAGATCTACTATTTGAAATCTGGAATTATACACACTGGGCAACGTATTTTATAAAACCTTCTCATTAAACATTAGAAAAAAAGAGTTGCATGTTAACCTCCTTAAAGATTTAGATTAACAATTTTTATTATAATTTTGGGTAAGACGCCCAAAACTTCTACAATTAAAAAAAAATGAAATCTACTTCTGCTTTGACTTTTTGGATAGTTTTTTTCTTTTTGCGATACCGGGGTGTTAGTCGTAATGTCATATATGATGCTTCCAAACTTTCTCAAGCAAAGAAGCAAGAGCACAAACTTTAAATAGATGTAAATATTTTATTTGCAGAAAATATTTTATTTGCAGTTTATAAATTGCAATTTGTAAATGTCAAAATTGCCATTTGAGAGCACTTACCGTCACTATCTATTCCAGGGGTCCATCCTTCTAAACTCTCGTCAACCTCATCTGTATCTTCGTCGTCCGTATTAGTGATTACTTTCTTAGACGTGTAGCGGGCTTGGAAACCTCTACCGCTATCGGAGCCATCCGATTCAAATTCTACCAACAAATACGGAGTAGAAGATGTAAAGTCTGGAGGAATGTTGCCAGTACCACAATGGTTCACCACAAGAGGGAATTCCTTAGTCGGACCGTCGTAGATGCGAATTGCGTCAAAACTAGCGAGATACAATTGATAATAGTATTGTATTAGGCCTATAAGCTAGAAGATGGAACTAAAAGTGTCATTATCCTTCTCTTAAGAGTACAACGGGTTACAACAAAAGGAAACTACTGCTTCAGCTGCTACTACTACTACTACTGTTTACCGCTGTTACAATGCTACTGTTACTGTTACTGCTACATGTGTTAACAGACTACTACTACTACTGCTGCTGCCGCCGCCGCCGCCGCCACTGCTGCTTATAGCACTAGGCCTCTACTGCTATAGGCCTGTGCTGCTAGTGCCCCTACGACTATTATATACCAGACATGTTTCCAATTCAAAAAAGGTTGAAACTTGAAAGCTCATGGTTGGTAGAAGTATTCAAGTTCAACTAATTCATTGAATATTTTCATATATCGGCATTTCCTTTTTTGTACCGGTATCGATCGATAAAACAGAGCACTCGACACTCGAGTAGTAAAATCTTGGACCCAATCAGTGAGCATATCACTTCATTTAGACCTATACTACTTGTTATATTTGTACTCACGGACAATCTTCCTCAACTTCAATATCCATATCAACAAACTGAAAGATTATCGCCTCATCGGGATCTCCTCGTATCAACCATGCACATTTGGAGTACCTCGGATAATTGTCGGGATACATCGGAGAGGAAATCGTTGATGGACTGGTTTCAGCAGGGGAAATTACACCACATTCTACCTCTTTAGATGAATGTATACATTTTCTTATGTTAACATGAACAAGCATAATGACAATAATAATTATAAAATAATAATAAATAATAATAATAATAATAATAATTATAATAATATTGATCATTTTAGTAATGTAATATACAATAATAACATAATATATTAATAATAGTAGCAATAACAGCAACGTCAGTAACAATAACATACAATTTGATAATTTTAATAATGTAATAATAGGCCTAATATTAACAATAATAAGATAATATACAATAGTGTACCTATAATAATTACCAGTATTAAAGTACGGTATGTTGTAAGTAAGTGCTTACGTTGTTTTAATTTTAACTATATAATTGCCAGAAGCACAAGTACGTTGTATTATATTGTATATACTTCCTTCTTCCTTCTTGAATTCGAGAGGCAATGTTCCAGGGACCTTCCTTATCCGGGTTGGCATACAGTCTAATTATAGTCAGGTAGTCAACTTGCACCAAAACCTAGTTACTAACCCGCATCCCAACCAAGTTGACAACTCGTATCCAGTCACGAACTGTCCTAGCTCTACTTAGACACCATGTTATAAACCTGTGGTACGTGGTTCGAGTTCGAGTTTGGTAAAAGTTTGTGAGAATATGGTTTAGTTTGGTTGGTGCGAGCTGAATTATGAGCCTTCAGTTAAACCCTGTTGATTTTAAGCCCTGTCCAGACTATCAAATTTTATATGACAAAACTATGTGACAATGCCTAAATATTGTCATGATGACACCACATCACGACCATATAAGTCTACTGTATTTGATGGTTTGGACAGGGCTTTACAATGACATTGATTGACCGTAATTTTGAAATGTGAAGGCCTACTTATCATTCATATACAAGCAAAACAAAAAATAATTGGAATTGGATAAACGAACTTTCCTATTATTGTCTTTTAAGAATATTTTCCCGCCGTGATGACCACAGTCCAAGCAGATTCTGTATACTGAGCAGAAAAGTGAGATTGAGAAGAGAGAATTGCGAGTAAGGAAGAGAGGAAAAAAGTAGCTTGTGATTTATTAACCCCTTGATTCTCTAATATAAAGGTCAAAGCTTTTTATACATCAGAATGCAAAATGAGATAATTTTAAAATTAGTAATGATGTTTTTACAATTTTGTTAGGGTGTTATTTAAATTGCGTGCGTTTATCTAGTAAAGAATGAATAGCATTTGCGAGATTGGAAGACAAACATGCATTTATCATTTTATATCTTTCATAACTCTTTATCTTTAACAAATGAGAAAAATACATGAAATGAACTTGAATTGTAGGACTACTCTCTGTTATGAGGAAGTAAGCATGAATAATGTATTTGAATTTTCAAACTTTATAGGCAAACGGAACTTTTTACGAGTGGCGTGTCCAAGAGTATTGACATTGAGACTTGTTGGGACGCCAAGGTTAAGTAAGTGGGATTTAGTTTTAAATATAAGATGAAATGTGGTCATTTTGAATGTATTTGCTAAACAAATTTCTAGTGGGTACGCCAATTTTAGCGCAATTTTTTCTGCGGGAGGGGAGTGGTGGTCTAAGCTCCCTCGTAGATTTACGATTCTACTTTCTGTAAATTCAAATAAGCGGTTTTAAAATTTTTATTGTATATATGTCTTTCTGGTTGTATCACAATAATCGGAGTCCTTATTGTTATTAGCGCAAAACAAATATAACACACTTAACTTACCTTCATCAACGCTCGAACCAATGATTTTGTAGCTACTGCTGCTCCAATCCTGTGACAAAACATGTTTGATAAAATATATTGAATATAGGACTATGCATAGTAGAGTTTTCAAGCATACAGCCGCCATTGTCGGTGGTATTTTTGCGGTGGTGGATTGAGGAGCGTCATCGGAAACAGTTGCGTCATTGGAACCAACCATTTCAACAGCCGACATAAATGCGTGTACATGTATATTAATTACACTTTTTTTAAAATAAGAACTCATTTTATAAGAACACTGAGGCTGAAAAAAAATTCAGTACAAAATAAGAACAAATTAAGGCTGAGGTAAAATGTCAAATGAGGTTTTTATTTATATAAAAAAAGACTATAAAAACCAACATATTACTGTACATCTGTACCTTATGTGCAGTAGATATGACATGTAATACCTTCTATAAATACAGATAGTAAATATGTTGCTGTACAATAATAATTCTCTATGTTTGAAAAGTTTGTAAAAGAACAAAATAAGAACATTTTAAGCGTGCAATCCGCAAAAAAATAATAACACTTAGCCTGCTAAAAATTATACTGGTTCTTATACTGGTTACGTGTACACGTATGTCCAGTATGTCCTGCATGGCCCATAATAATATAGGCCTATTACTATTATTTAAATATGTTCCTTCCAAGCGGTTAAGGTACGTGTGTGTTACATTGACATGACCTTAAGTACGTAGTGATATAATTATTATGCCTTGAAGGTTTGCATGGCGAAATGGCAATAATATATGCTTTTGGTAGACCATAGCCTATATCATATATATCTTCCCTGAAGACGGTTAGAGTACACTAAAATACGAAACGTTCGGACATTGACAAATACCAAACGATTCTTCTTAGAACCAAATACCGTCAACTGGGTGGGAATATAGCTGTAGGATACCACTGTGTTATCTGCTTGTGCTCTTCAAAACCCCTGCTACATCGTTCTTATTAGCATGTCGTTGGTAGATATTTTGTTGGATGCAGGATAATTGTTGAATACATAATAGAATGTCTTCTTATTGAATTTTCTTTAATTCATCACATAACCGTGGCAGGCGACAGATAACTAGCTATTATCTATCCATCATTTTTCCGGAGTGTGTCTATTCATAAGGAATTATTTATACACTTGCCTTTGAGTGTTTAAAAAAGTCCGATTTTAATGTAAAGTTGTTTTTGCCCTAAATGTTTTCAACATATCGAAATAGCATTTGTAGTACCCACTGCATGCTATTTGGGGATCGGATTCAACACTAGACACTAAGCGGAAGCTCGGCAGTCTAGTGTTTATGGCGCAAGGCTAGTTATTTGGGGGTCGTACCGTGGACTCGATTCTCACCCGAGTAACTTGCGATTTTTTTCGGAAGTATTTGGGAACGTACCGAGTATTCGGTACGTCAGGTAAGGCAAAATATCACTCCTATTTTCAATATATATGATTCATCATCTAAAATGCTTTCACAAATACCCAAGACTTCAACCACTACTATGCCCAGAGAGCATTTTCATCTGTAGCTCCTAGGCTTTGGAATGAACTTCCTTTGCATATTCGTTGTGCTGACTCAGTTGAATCCTTTAAGGCATTGCTCATAAAAACATCTTTTTTCTAAATCATAAATCACTGTCATGCTTTTTATTAAATTTTGTGATTGTACTGTCTCTTGGAGCCACTATCTTGGCCACTGTCTCTGAGAACCCATTCGTCTGTGGCAGGGCAGATGTGAAACCTTCTCCTTTGTTCCCGCCACGTGGTAGAGGTCTGGGATTGCGCCAGAGCAGAGGCGGATGGTTAACTTTAAGAGACCGTGCACTGCTTGCCACCACACCATATTACTACTCAATTTATTATCATTTTTGTTTTAAATCCTTTTTAGTTATATGCGCTATATAAATAGCAATTTATTATTATTATTATTTTGGTTATCTGACGGTTTACTGATTGAACTAGGCCTACTCATCATGGATGATGCAGGGGCATGGTAAATAAGCTTTACATATTGATGATATTCTTTGTCCTTTGATTAAAGTTTTAATTTTAAATTTACTAGACGAGACTTTTTTTATACCTTGTTAAGTGAACCCACCACTTATAATGATGATTTCGAATAAAAATAAAATGTTATTTTTGGCCAATTAGCGCACCCTCTGCCACAAATAAGTAGAAATTTATTTTTTTTATTCCGCCTACCGCTGCCTTGAAATCTCCAAAAAATAAGATATGTATATTTCTTCTTAATTATATAAATTTAAAGCATTTAACCATCCCATTACTACACTGTTTACATTCACCAATAAAATTTTATTTTTATTTTCTCCTCCGTAGTATTTTTTAATCAAAACTCTTCGATACACAAAAAAATATTTATTTTTACTTTTTTTCCCCTGACGATCCTTAAAAAAATGAGATTTGGGGAGGGGGAGTGGGTGGGTGGTCTTAGCTCCCTCGTAGATACGCTACTGCAAAACAAATGGAACACACTTTATTTACCTTCATGTTCATCAACGCGTGACCTTTAATGAAGTGGGTCCCCATATTAATGGGGTTTTTTCATGCCCTGTGAATAATTGTTTAATTTCAAATTTACTAATGAGGGTGCTTAACGAACATCCGGTGGTAGATTATTTCATTTATCAAACTTTCTTAGGGTTTAAGTCAATTCCATTTTGATTGACATAATTGTTGAGACTTACAAGTCAGTAATTAGAGTGTTCTCTGTGGTTTAATTTTACCAATGTCATACATTATGTATTGACGTCTTTATTATGGCAGATAAATAGGTGTATTGTCATAGCATATTAAGATTCATGTCTATCTGACATATCTAATATGAAAATCAGTAAAATGTATATTTGATCAAGATATTCGATGCTTCAGTTTCTGTAGTTACGAAACGAACAGTCAAACGAAGAACAGTAATATGTTAAACGAAACACGCTGGTTGTGACTTTGTAATATATTTAGGATAATTTTTACCAGGACTACTACACATTTTCATCACAGTGTAGGTATTTTAGTTGGTAATATAACTGTAGTATGTGCTGTGTTATCCACTCGCCCTTTTCAAAAACCCTGCTATATCGTTGGTAGATATTTTGACAGGCTGTAATGGTAATGATAATGTTTGGAGACTTGTTAGCGCATAAATACATGGTCTCTATGTTGTTGAATCTGGCCGGTTGTTGACTGGATCTCAACCGGAAAATTCTATACTTTTGAGACAAAAACTGGATGCTTAACGTATAGAATCCAATGATTTTCTTTAATTCATCACATAATCTTGGCAGGCGAGAGATACCTAGCAATCATCTACCCATTCTTTTACACAGCCAAAGTACATAATTCATCGACTGGGTGGTTTTTGCTTTGTACTTGCATAATATATTTTAACATATTTTGCTCTTTCATTTCACTTAAACTTCATACTCATGAAAATTCGTTTTTATTAGTTTCTTAATTATGGCATGAGTACAGTATATAGTCTTGGTGCAATTATACGTACGTATATAGGCCTACATAGATGCTTAAAAAGCAGCGAACCGAATTTTATCAATTATTGTTCCAATTCAAGGGTTGACTGTCATTATCCTTGGTGTATTCAGCGTATGCGTTTTGCCGCTTACATTACTTTGAGGAAAAGGTATTACGAGAAAAGTAACAAGCAAAGAATGATTATGTTCAACAAAACACGCATTGTTTGTGACTTCGCGATACATTTTCTCGGACCACATATTTTCATCACACTAGGTATTCTAGCTGGAAATATAGCTGTAGTATATGCTGTGTTATCTACTCGTGCTCTTCAAAAACCTTGCTACATCGTGCTCATGAGCATGTCGTTGGTAGATATTTTGACAGGATGTTGTGGAGTCTGGGTAGCTTTTGACTGGATCTTAACCGGGCAGTTATATAATTTTGAAACAAAAGTTGGATGGTTAACGTACGTATTACAATGTCTTTTTATTGAATTTTCTTTAATTCATCACATAATCTTGGCAGGGGACAGATACCTAGCAATCATCTATCCATTCTTTTACACAGCCAAAGTACATAATACATCGAGTGGTTTGTTTGTGCTTTGCAGTTGGATAATTTATTTTACCATTTTTTCTGTCATTTTCACTAAAATTCATACTCCTGAAAATACATTTTTACTTTGTGTTACGATGGTGGGAGTAGAATATATAACTGTGATGTTATTACACATACGTATATATAAAGAAGCTCGAAAGGCAGCGAACCAAATTTCATCAATTCGAACTCAAGGGGTGCAAAATGACTTCAAAGCGACAAGAATAACTGTCACTATCCTTGGTATATTCAGCGTATGCGTGTTGCCGCTAACAGGTTTTTACTTTGTAAATTTGTCAACGCCGTACGAAGAATTACGTTGTAAAACATTATTTTACTTTACGTTAGCGTTGAGTTATGCCAACTCAGTCACAAATCCATTTGTCTATGGAATATCGCATTCACGCTTTCGTGAAGCTTTTAAAACAATTGTTTTCAAATCCAGATTCTGAAAATAAGATTATTTCTCTGTAAACTGACGGGCTTAAAGAGATACAAAAACAGAAACGAGATATTAGGATTATTTATTTTGTAATTCCAATCATTTTTTTGCCAGCTTGGCCTAGATCTGTGTATTTATGGAAATTAAAACTCTTGATTTTCACTGACTGATTTTTACGTGTCTTAAATCCTGTTTGTATCAAATATTTTAGAGGAGTTCACAGTTTTATATGAGAAGCCGTCACTTCTGCAGTGTTTTTTTGTTTTTTTTTTACAAAAACAGAAACGAGATATTAGGATTATTTATTTTGTAATTCCAATCATTTTTTTGCCAGCTTGGCCTAGATCTGTGTATTTATGGAAATTGAAACTCTTGATTTTCACTGACTGATTTTTACGTGTCTTAAATCCTGTTTGTATCAAATACTTTAGAGGAGTTCACAGTTTTATATGAGAAGCCGTCACTTCTGCAGTGTTTTAGCCTATTAGTACTAACGGCTGTAGGCCTAAATGACAAACGAACAATGGTAATAATTATGTCAAACGGCACGCATTGGTTGTGACCAATGCAGTTGAGTCAATTTGTACTAGGCCTTCTACATATTTTCATCACAGTAGGTATTCTAGCTGGGAATATAGCAGCTGTAGTATATGCTATGTTATCCGCTCGTGTT